GTTTGAATAGCCCATGGGAATGTTGCATTTCTGAATTCCTACTCCTTCTACCTACAGAAGAGATTCCATTTCTCCTCCTGTGGCCTCCCTACCTGTAACACCCCGAGGTCACCCACCTCCCCATGCTTCTTTAAAGCCTAAAGACAACATACACACACAGAGCATCAGAGAACAAACAACAACAAAACCCCCCAAAAACAACAATAAAAAAAGGAGGTGGTAGGAATTTTTAGTGTATGTTCTTAGCTGCTTTCAAATCAAAGCAATATAAAAGTATGACAAAAACAATGGCGACAACAAACTCCTGGAAACAGATAATCTTTGGACCTGCTACTGTATTTTTCCATAAAGAGGTATGCTGTGTAATTATTTCTACTCACACAGTCCTATTTCTACTTGAATCCTACCACAGGCTAAGATATGCCAAGATCCTTCATTAACATATCATAGATTTTTCTTTTCAGTATAAATCAAACTAAATAGGTCATGATTGCTTAATCAGTATGCAAAGTATTGCCTCTGGGAATCACCTTCAATCCTCTGACAGCTGAAATTCTTTTTAGTGCTTTGAAATTTAATTCTACCCAACCGAACCCCACCCAGCTCTTCATTCCCTCACATCACAATTTTCATCCTGTGAGGTGTAGACGTTGTCCTGGAATGGTACCAGGGCCCAAACAGCAGGGATTTGGTGAATTCAAGGGGGAAAACAGATCCTGCAACCAAGACCCACCACCACCACCACGGGAGTAAGGCTTCCCTCCTCTCTCAGTGGCCACGAAGAGGGCGGGGAAAGGTGTGCCCCTGAAGTTATGTTACTGATACACCTGTGCCTCCCTCTGAAGGACTTATTTTTCCTTACAAAGGAAAAAAAGAGCGAGGGGTCCACTTACTAAATACTCTCTCTGAGGAAGGCTAGCCCTGGAGCTTTCAGTGACATCAGCATGCAGATGACTCCCCACGTCCATTTTCATCTCTGGCTCTTCCTCCTCCAAGTTGCCCTCTTGACACACAAACCCAAAACGCAGCTCTTGGGTCTACCCACCACATTCGTTTTCTACAATAGCCAACAGGCCTACGAAGTGTCAGACACCGCTCTGCCTCCTTTCCAAGTACGAACTCACGGAGCCCTCACTACCCGTGAGACAGACACCAATCTGATCTCCCCTCACTGACGCCGGGGACCCAGGACTTCGATCCAAGCAACTGGGTCCAGGCCCTGGGCTCGGCCTAGATGCTATGGGCCCACCGCTGGAGACAGTCCCAATTGGCCCATCCCAGGCAGGTGCCACGAGCTGCTCCTGCCTGATCCCTCGGCAGCCCTCATCTGCCACCCCCCAACCTGTGGGGAACCCCAGGCCTCCAGGCCCGTCCCCTCACTGTCCCTCACTACGGTGGGGCCTGGCAGCGCAGGAGGCCCATTCCCCGTCTGAGCCCCCCGGGCTGCCCTCATTTTCCTTTCGAGGGCTCCAGAGGTGGGAGCTCCATGCACCGGGGGAAGCCTGCAGCCGAGGGCCCTGCGAGCCTCCGGGTCATCATGACTCGTAGAGACCGCATGACCCTTGGGACGGCCTTGTCACGCCTGTGGAGTTGGTGACTCTGTTAACAGAAACCCTTAGGCCCCGGGGGCCTCCTCTCCCCGGCACCACAGGGTGCCCCCTGCGGGGGGCTCATGCAACTCCCACTCGGCCTTCGGAGCTCTGCGAACAACCCCCGGGGCCACGGCCAGGGGCGCCCCCCCACCACAGGCCACTGGCCTGTCCTTCACCTCAGGCCTCACACTCGCCATGGAGGGCGCTCCCCGGGACCACTTGCAAAATCCACGAAGACAAAAACCCAACGGTGTTCCTGACTAGTCTCTCGGCCCCATAACCCTGGGGAATAATCTGTCCATTTGACAAAAAACTGGCCCCTGGGGCCCCTGGGGGCTCAGCGGTTGAGTCTTCAGCTCAGGTCATGACCCCGGGGTCTGGGGATCCAGTCCACGTCAGGCTCCCTGCATGGGGCCTGCTTCTCCCTCTGCCTGGGTCTCAGCCTCTCTCTCTCTCTGTGTGTCTCTCATGAATAAATACATTAAATCTTAAACAAAACAAAACAAAACAAAAAAAAGGCTTGACACTAACTACACCTTCTGACTAGAAAACCAACTTGTTTTTCAAACATAAGAAAACCAGAGACGACATGAGGAGGGGAGGCTGGCCACCCTCCCTCCTCACTGATTCCATGTGTCGGGAGGACTGTGAGTGGCTCCCCACCCTGTCCCCTGGGGCGTCAGGCAGGCCTGCCGTGCCCTCTGCCCTCCCTCCCTTCAGTAGCTAGAGCCTTGGGGGTCGGCCTGCCCTCTGGTCCGCCCACTCCCCCGCAGCGAGCTCAGGGAGGCGACGCACAGGACCCCGCCTGGCCTGCACCCAGGAGGAAGCTCAGATCAGTGCGACAGGAGGCGCCGGGGGCCAGGGTGCAGGAGCTCGCTGGGCCTCACCCTGTCAGGGCCGTCAACTCAACAGAAGCCACCCAAGGGCCAAGGTGGAAGCCAACACTGACAGGGAGGCTCCTTTAATTTAGTGCCTAAAATCCAGCTGTCCGTTATGGGAGGTCGTTCACAGACTGCTGCGCTCTACTACGTTGATAACACCGTGTGGTCCCTTGTCGCCTCCTGTACTTGTCACCCTCGGGCCGGGGAAGGCTCATTTGCCTTTGCAGAGCATGTGATGGGCTTCCTGGCTCATCCTGCCCTTCCCTGGCCGTGCTCTGACGCCGTCCAGATGGGCACCCGGGTTAGCACAGGAGCAGACGGGACTACCAGGCTGTGACAGGGGAAAAGGACATTCTCCTTTCCACGGAAGCCAGGGGAAGCAGAATGGGGAGACGTCACGTTCCTTCTAGATGGAACTCCCAAAACGAAGGACACCTTCACGGAAGGTCTTAGGTCTTAGTTTCCAGGAACCAGCAGGCAAAGCCAGCCCCCAGCAAACCTGAGTCACTGCTGTCCATCACTGGCACTCACGCTGACCGCCCGGCCTATCTGCGTCGGGGACACAAGGACCCGCAAGGAGAAAAGTTGATTTCCACTAAAATACGGGGAATGTAGTATCTTTACCATCCAATGGATTCATGGCAGGGAAGAAAACGCAAAACACAGAGCTAAAAACTGGGGGCGGATGTTAGGGCCAAGATAGGAACTTTCTCCCGCAGCCCCTACCCACCCCCCCGCCTCACAAAAAAACAAGAAATATTACATCATGATGTGGGCACCTTCTTCCCTTTGATACAAGAACACCTGACGTGCAAAATATCCTAAATCATCAGAAAAGCACCACAATAGCTGAATATCTCATGTAATTTAAAAAGTAATCCAATAAAAGTATGATTGTAGAACACCCGAAGTTACTCTGTAACTTTGCTTGATATCAGACCAAAAGATAACGGGAAAGCCAAAAACATTTCTGGGGGTGTGAGCAGGAAAAACTCCCTCTTCCGGTGTCTCCTCTGCTCCCAGGCCAACCACCACACTCACAACGCGGCCGACACCAGGGGCATGGGTTTTCCCTCACCAGGCAATTCTGTGACACCAGCTGGGTGCCCTAGCACTTAAGACACTGCCTTTCTGAGACAGGGTCAGATCCTACAGGTTAAGGGCTCAATCCTACAAGACTGCCCCCCCCCACATCCTACTTCAGATGCCATTATGTGTCAGCTGAGTGCTTCTGACCAGGGGGTAATAAATCGGAGGATCCCATGACATCCTTCTCAAGTTTGACTGATTTGCTAGAGCGGCTTACGGAACTCAGGAGAAACGGTTGACTTACTAGATGACTGGTTTATTAGGAAAGCATATGACAGAGGATACAGACCCGAGAGGATACAGGGCAAGGCAAGGCATGTGGGGAGGGCTGTGGGGCTTCCATGCTCTCTCCTGGTGCGCCCTCTCCCAGCACCTTCATGGGTTTCTCAACCCGGAAGCTCTCTGGACACCATGTTTTGGGGGATTTTTATGGAGGCTTCATCATATAGGTCTGACCAGTCATTAACTCCATTTCTAGCACCCTCTTCCCCCTCTGGAGGACAGGGCAGACGGCTGCAAGTCCAAGCTTCTAATCATGGAATGGTCTTGCTGGTGACCAGCGCCCCCATCCCAGAGCCATTGAGAATCACCTCAGTAGAACAAAGGATACTGCTACCACCCTGGAAATGCCAAGGGATTTAGAGACTCGGTATCAAGAACCAGGGACAGAGAGCATTACACACACACACACACACACACACACACACACACACACACATTTTTCTATCATTTCACATGGCCTTACCCCAGCTCTAAATATTCCCTAGAGTAGAAGGGATGAAAAGCACATCCCCAAAGTATAAGCTCTTCTTCTTCTTTTTTATTTTTTTTAAAGATTTTATTTATTTATTTATTCATGAGAGACAGAGAGAGAGGCAGAGACACAGGCAGAGGGAGAAGCAGGCTCCATGCAGGGAGCCTGACGCGGGACTCGATCCCGCGTCTCTGGGATCACGCCCTGGGATGACGGCAGCGCTAAACCGCTGAGCCACGCGGGCTGCCCCCAAGCTCTTCTTTTCGAAGTAAGGGACAAACAAGTCTGTACTACAACTGCCAACCATTCATTTTAGAAACTGAGAATCTGTAGTGAATAGTGAATGCCAAGTAACCTGAGGAAAAAGCACCTGTCCCTTTAGAACTGCATGAGAAAACACAAAGAAAAGACATATATTTAACAAATGTTTGAAAATATACAATACAGAGAAAAAAAAACAAACCCATTAAAAGCCGACTTGTGAACAATTTAATTTCAGGAAGCTACTTCGTAGAGTCTGCATCATACAACATATTTAATGATTATTCATATTTATTTTCCTTCTAGAGAAAATATTTTTCCTAGTCACAAGTACTGAATCAGCCTCATAGGGGGAAAAAAAACAGAAGAGGTGAGAGACAGCAGGCTAAGTGATTTTAAAAAAAATTCTACTGATATACTTACGCGGTAGTGGTCTGCATGTCATGCCAGCTTTTGCTGAAGTTCTGTTTTAATTCATTCATCAGGTTCATGCCGAGTTTTTGTTTTATCTCCACCAGATGCCTTTCTTTCGCTGATAAAACTTGCCGTAACGTTGTAATTTCGTCTTCTAGCTACAGGTGGGAAGGAACATGGTGTGGAAAGATGTGAGACCCGCTGAAACATACACCTGAAAAGTTCCCGGTGCTCCACAGCAACCCCCTGCACCCCTGTATTACCAGGCCCATGCCTGCCTATAGCAAACGCATCCCATAGAGATGACAGTCTGACATTTTAAAATAGAAACTAGGTTTTTTTAGTTTTAATGATTATAAAAGTAATCACTGCTCCTTATAAAAAAACTCATTCATACAGCAAAATATAAACAAGAATAATTACCTACAATCCACTAGGAAATAGCCACCACTTAATTTTTTTGGCTTCTAATCTTCCAAACGTTTAAAAAAAAAAAAAAAAAAAAAAAGTAGGGCTTGGACTCACAACCCTGAGATTGAGACCTGAGCTGAGAACAAGAGTCATCTGCTAAACCACCTGGACCTCCCAGGCATCCTCCCAAGTGTTTTATTTTTTTAATAAAATTTGCACTTAGATATAATTTTTGAACAAAAAATATTGGTTTTGTCCTGTTTTCCTTTCTCCCATAAGCAACTTCAAGTGTCACTAGTCAGTACTGTGTGTTTATTGTTTGCCAATCACACATTCACAATAGCTGCAGTGCTGTAGGCACAGACAGGCCAGACACCACGGTTTGGCCAAGCTAATACTTCAGGAAGGGAGGGACGAGGGGGGACAGGACATATGTAAGAATGTGATTTGTTTCTTTTTAATAATTTATTGACATGTAATGGATTTCTATAAACTGCCCACATTTAAAGAGTATAGTCTGAGAGTTTTGACACTTGTGTCTTGTGAAGTTATCACCGCAATCAAGAAAGCAAACGTATCCATCACCTCCAAAAGTTTCCTAAGTCCTCTTTGTAGGTCCTCTCTCTAGGTCCACATACCACATTTATATGTGGAATAAAAAAAAAAAAAAACCCAAAGCAAATGAAAAGAAGCTCATAGATACAGAGAAGAGATCGGTGGTCACCAGAGGTAAGGAGTAGGGGTGATGGTGGGTGAAATGGGTGAAGAAGGTCAAAAGGTACAAACTGACAGTTATAAAATAAGTCATACACAAAAAAAACTGTTCTTGCAATGTAATTTTTAACAAAGCCGTTCAGTAAAATGCCCAGATTTTAGAGAGTGCTACTCTAACCTGTGAAAATCAATCTGAAACTCCACAAAGTTTTCGATTCCAATTGTCACATTTTTTTTTTATTGTCAGATTTTATAATGTACTGCCCTGGTAATAAGTTTTTACATCATTAAATTTTTACTTAAGGTTTTACATCATTGTTTTCTGAAAAGTATAAATGACTGTGACTTTGTGAAGCCAGAAGAGAACTCCTAGTACTTCCTTAGTATCCCACAAGCATAGAGGTCATAAAAAACCTGACATTCTTACTAGATTTCTTATTTTTAAAAACGTGGCAGCTGTGTCTCATTTACATTCAAAATATCGCTCTACTTCTGACCATAAACCACATTTACACTAACACCATCAGTCATCATGCAAATGTGTTCCTTGGGTCAGCAGAAACATAGCTGTTGGAAAAGCATCTCAAGAAAGACAAGTATCTTTGCACATATTAGCCTTTTTACTTGTGCAAGGAAGATTTTACCCCACTGGTGGACAGATCGAAATAGCGTTGTGAAGTGTCAGAGACACAAATGATCACTTAAGCAAAATGGGCAAAATTCGGAGTCAGAAGCATCTTAAACAGGATGGTAGAAAAGAACTATCTCTTGGAGTTTTCAATATCAGCAAATGTCCTAGTAATCTAGCATTATTCATTTTTTTATATTTATGGGACAGTTTTCTAATGCTTCACAGAAACTTTTCTAAAATGAATTACACATTCGGTGAACATGTTACAGTCAAGAGCGCTCCACCCTTTCTTGTTGCGCGGGGCTTCGGTATGCAGACATATACTCATTACTGCGAGAGGAGTCTACTCGGGGACCACCAAAGGGGGTCGTGCTTTTACTCTCCCCATTAAATGAGAACGCACAGTTATTTTAAACCCTCTATTCTTTTGGCAATCATGTCACATTCCACTTTTTCATCTTTGTCAATGTGTCCTTTTGTGTTTAATCTGTGGCCTAGTATTTCTCAAGGTTGCATCTCTGACTCTCTTTCTGTAGAAGATGTCATGCTTCATGTCAGCCTTTTAATTCTGTAGAAAAGACCTTTTCTGCTATCTTTTGCATAAATAGTATGTATTGGGTGACTGAAATTATTGAGAGTCTTGGATTTTTTAACGACTTGGTTATGACTGCAGTTTTCACCGTGTAATAAAAATAATCGGACAATTTTTAACTGGTAGAAAGAAATTACAGATGTAGAGAAAAGGAAAGAGGCTTACAGATCTTGACACTCTCAACCTCATATCTAGGGGACCCTAGAAATTCATTCAAAATTGGGGGAAGCAGTAGGAGATTCATTAGTTATTTGAGGGAGGTGAATAAGGGACTCAGAGTTTTCTAATGAAATCCTTGATCCCAAAAAAGTGATAGGTAGAAACACTGAAGTGACCAGTTTACCAAACACCAACCTAAAGAAAGAACAATGAAGTCCCACACCTAATATTTTAAATACAGAAGCATAGATTAAAAAGCATTTATAAGGAACAGACTTCTAATGATGGAAACATGAACTCAGTTACTCAGGTGGGTCTATTCTCAGGTTCTTTAATGAAATTCTTATCATTTCAATGAAATGTTGAGACCCACACTTCTTGAAGCGTTCAGTATAATTACCGGCAATCTAAATATATGCCAAAAAAATCTGTAAGCAAATCCAGAAATTGAAAAAAACACATAATCTTAAATTATATTAGCTTGCAAGAATGAAAATGAGAACCACATATCTCTTTCCACAGAGCAGACAGTTCTGCCTCACGGCAAAGTCTTTAATCACAAATATTTTAAATGATGCTCATGGTGAGAGTCCACCCTTCATTTGACTAATGAGATTTTTTTGGCCTAGTTACACCAATGGTTCTCAATTTCAGTTTACATAAATGTCACTCATAGGGCGTATTAAAATGCAGATTCCAGATATATGCCCCTTTTAATGCCCGAAGATTCTGGTATCTTCAATGTTGTAGGGTCAGGCTATCTACATTATTCAACAAGCGCTCCCAGATACTGTGATGCAGGTGGTATGGAAAGCCAATACTGTAAGTACCTCCGTAAGCCACATCGAATTCCTGTTGGGATGAGGTGGAGTGCAGGTAAGTCATTAACTAAAGTATTGAATATATCCTTTCTCCCTTAATTTTAAATTAATCATTTCTTTATTATAAACTAATAGTCCGGTTCTTTGGTTTCTTGACTCCCTAGAAGATCTCCTTGTATGACAAATATTTACACCCAAGACTACATATTTAGACTTGGCTATTTAAATATGAATTAACAGACACATGACAAATGTTGGTGAGGATGTAGCAAAACTGGAACCCTTATACGCTGCTGGTAGGAATGTAAAATGGCTCAGCCACTGTGGAAAACCATCCGGTAGTTTCTTAAAAAGTTAAACGAAGAATTACCATATGACCCAACAATTCCACTCCCAGGTATATTCCCCAAAGGATATAAACAAGTACACATAGACACATATTCATAACAGCACCATTCACAGCAGCCAGATGTGAAAATAGCCGAAATACCCATCAAAGGATGAAGAGATAAACTATTGCAGTATACACCAAAAAGGAGTATTATTCAGCCACGGAAAGGACTGAAGTATTGAGACACGCTACAACACAGAAGAATCTCAAAAACATAGGCCACGGGGATCCCTGGGTGGCGCAGCGGTTTAGCGCCTGCCTTTGGCCCAGGGTGCGATCCTGGAGACCCGGGATAAAATCCCACATCGGGCTCCCGGGGCATGGAGCCTGCTTCTCCCTCTGCCTGTGTCTCTGCCTCTCTCTCTCTCTCTCTCTCTGTGTGACTATCATAAAAAACAAAACAAACAAAACAAAAAAAAAAAAAACCAAAACATAGGCTACATGAAAGAAGCCAAACACAAAAGGCCATCTATCACACAAAATATACAGAACAGTAAATGCAGAGATACAGAATGCAGAGGGGAAAATAGGAAGCAACTGCACAAGGAGTATGGGGTTTCTTTTTGGGGTGTTAAAAATAGTTTGGAACTAGAGGTGGTAGTTACACCACATTGTAAGTTTAACAAATGCCGCTGAACGGTTCACTTTAAAACAGTTAATTTTATATTAAAACAGTTAATTTTATACCTCAATAAAAAATGCAAAAACATATGACTTAACCTGAATTAGCTAATGAATTACCTTCAAAATGAAATTTACGTTAGAAGATTGAAAATTTACCTTCCTATTTTATGCTAGATTACATTAAAAAAATCTTCTATCTGGATAAAGAAATACTTTCATAAACTATTAAATCATCAGTATGATGCTTAGTAATAAGACTATTTGGTCTCTTGCACACACTACTTCAATGCCAGCTTCCTCTCCTGGGTAATCATGCCTCTGGCTGAGACTCCTAAACTAAGATTAAAATCCAGATACTCCTTGAGAGAGGGCAGTGATTATTTTTATGTGTCAACTTGACTTGGCCGTGGGATGCCCAGACATCTGGCCAAATATCATGCTGCGTGTGCCCATGAGGGTGTTTCTGCATAAGATTATCAATTGAATTGGAAGAATTGGGAGACTGGGTGGGCAGACTGTCTTCCCAAAGTGGGTGGATTGACGTCCTAAATAGAAGACAAAGGCTGACCCTCCTTCAGTTCATAGGGACTCTTCTTGTCTGACTGTATTTGAGTTGGGACATTGTTTTTCTTCTTCCTTCATATTTAAACTGTACCATCAGCTGTTCTTAGGCCTTGAGCCTGCTGGCCTTCAGACTGGAGCCACACCATCAGGTCCCCTGGTTCTCCAGCTTGCTGACTATAGATCTGGTGATTGTCAGCCTCCATCATCACATCAGCCAATTCCTTGTAACAAATCTCTTTCCATACACATATACCCTATTGGTTCTGCTTCTCTGGAGGGCTCTAACACAGAAGCGTATTACAGCAAGACATTGCTGATTATTAACACTTCAGTTGTTCACGATTCAGTCCAGAAAGAATGAAGGCCTTGGAAGAAGGAACTAGGAGAGAAAGACCAAGAGCCTAAAGCACTTCTCTATCAGTCTATGAGACAGGTGGCTTGAGGGAACTGTGTGTTCTTTCTGAGGGCACCTCACGCCACAGGAAGGGAGACGAACCCAAAGAAGGATGAAGAGAGCCTGAAAAGAGGCTTTGCCTACTTAATAATATTGCCTGGTATTTTTCCAACTCCTATTAATGCTTATTTTTCTTGAGTCATTTTATCTGGAGGATGTTGGCAGTGTTTGGTGGTTATATAATCATAAATTTACAGTGCTAATGCTAGCACTTCATCCTTTTCAAAAGCCCAGCCAAATTGCAGGGACGCCTGGGTGGCTCAGTTGGCTAAGCATCTGCCTTTGGCTCAGGTCATGATGAGGTCATGTCAGGAGCTAATGAGAACAAACAGCTGAAACAAAATATTACTTCTTTATATACTGGTAAGGTGTGTAAGAATGCATATTCAACTTCCAGTATTTAAAAATGTAAATATTTTGGAGGACCTGGTCGCCTCAGTTGATAGAACATGTGACTCTTAATCTTGGAGTCATGGGTTTGAGCCCCATGTGGGGTACAGAGGTTGCTAAAAAAATAAATAAATAAATAAATAAACTTAAAAAAATTAAATATTTCTTTAACGTATAAAATAATTCAAGTTAATTATAAACCTTAATTGCATACTTTCTGTACACAGACCACTGCACTAAATCAGAGGTAATACTGGCCTCACAATGAAGAAACTTAAAAACACACATATTGCATGACCATAATCATAAAAGTTTAAACTGTGTTAACAGATTCCTCTTTCACAACACAGAGTCCATCTAAGATGTAGCCTTTTGGGCAATACTGGCTTACTTTATGGTTCCAACACAAGGACAGATCTTCCTCTTGCTAACACTTGGTAGCACACGACAATACTTGGGCTGTGTGGATGAGTGGAGTTGTGAGTTTGCTCCAAGTATAAGGGCCACCTCACGGGAATCGAACAACAAAACAGTGCAGGATAAAGCAGTGGGGAGGAATCCAGCATAGGCACGAGCCGGTGGGGGACTCAGAGGACACTGAAGAGGAGACTGGATCCCTGGCACGCCCTAAGGCCTCTTGTAAGCAAAGGAGTCAGAGAGGTCTGGACGCAGACCTCTCGCTTTGAGGTCATGGCCATCACGACTGCCTGCCAGTCTAAGAGGCTGGCCTGTGAGGTGTCCTGTTACCCAAGTGGCCAATGGATCCAGTAGGATCTTCCCTCAGGCACAGAGGGCAGTTGCTTGCGACCAGGGGCCCAGGAAGGATGTCTGTGGAGAGCTGAGGCAGGGGAGCTGGGCCATCCAACAGATGGCTCTGGTCTCTGGACGGCCACTTGTGGGACTGCCGAGATTGCTCTCTGTGTGTCCTTGTTGTAATGAAACACTAGCATCCGAGCGTGTCTGAATGCATATCTGATCTGCAAAGAACCTGGTTTGGAGTGGGTATATGAGTATGAGAATGCATGCACATGTGTGTGAACGTGTGCGTGTGTGTGTGCACGCTCGTGGAGGCACGCAGGCACACACACACAGCAGCTGCAGCGTGCATTTGCTGGAGGGCAGGGAAAGCCAACTCAAGGAAAGGATGAGAATTAATATGCAGAGGTGGACCGAAGCGGAGGGAGAAGCAGTGGAAACGTGAAGAGAAAAAACATCAGATACACTTCCCGTGCGATGGACTGGGCCTGGGGGCACACAGCTGCACCCTCGTGCCTCTGGAAGTCACGATGCCACCCTGGCAATACTATGCGGTACTTCTTCATCTCTGAACAACCCAGAAATAAGAGACAGGAAGCATCCTAAAGGATGAGAACATGCATCCTGGTAGCTTAAACATAGGAACGAGGGCTGTGTTATTTTCAGAAGTCAGGCTGAAGAGTCCTAGTAATGAGAGGTGCTGGAAACTCAATAATGTGGCCAAACCAGACAGGACTTTCTGGAAGTACCATTGGGTTTTTTGTATCACAGAGGCATCCACTTAAAACCAAGGCTCACTTTTTCTTGACTAGAAAGTAATGCGTGTGCTCACTGCTGAATGTTTATAAAATAAAGAACGCACACAGAAAACAGAGGTGTGGGGATGCCTGAGTGGCTCAGTGGCTGAGCATCTTTGACTAAGGGCGTGATCCCACAGTCCTGGGATCGGTCCCACATTGGGCTCCCTGCAGGGAGCCTGCTCCTCCCTCTGTCTGTGGCTCTGCCTCTCTCTCTGTGTCTCATGAATAAATAAATATTAAAAAAATAAAAATATAAAAATTTGTAATTTAAATATATATGTGTGTGCGTGCATGTGCATGCAGACCCCAGCAGTCCCAGAACCCAGAAAACCGAAGGCATTTTATAAAGGTTGGCCTGCTACAGAGATTTAAGTACAGAACTTAAACTTGGACTGTAACAGTGAAGGAATTAAATGTTAGCTTAGCATCGGTGAGCTCACACCACTGAGCAGAGCCTAACTTCGGACACCACACACAGCATGAACCAGAATTCCGGGCCTTATGAAAACACAGAGCTAGGATGCTGTCCGTCGCCGCTGACTTCGGCCCGCATGTGCCGGCAAGTGTGGCCAACTGGAAGTACACTGGGTGGTTTTAGATCAGCAGCTGCAGGCCCAGCCAGCCAAAGGACCAGGCTACCTGCCTGGAGGCCCTGCGCTTACTGAAATCATTTCTGCTGTACCAGGAGAACAAGCTGCTCTTGCATTTCACAATGCAGTTATTTTCGGGTGTGCTTTGCGAGGACACCTGAGAAGTCTTTAATATTATCATAAACAAACACCACTGGAACATGAGAGCTTGAGGAGTCTGGAGCAGACAAAGCGGGGTGAGGATACGGTGATGCTCAAAGCTGTATCCTCAGCCTGCGATCGAGCCCAGAGACTTGCTTCCAGCCGGACCAGGAGCTCTGTGCCCTTGGATGCAGGGATGCAGAATGGGGAGGGATATGGGCCTCCTCTCTCTGGCCCTACTGCTTACCCTATTCGAAAAGCTTGCTTTATCCAGTGCTTTCCTCCTACAACATAACTGTTCCTTAGCAAAGTATTTAAGGCTTAGTGGGTGCTGCCAACAAATGGCTTTAGCAACTGTATTCCTGGTGGGCCAGGCATCCTCCCCACCTCTAAGTCCAGATGCCTGAAGCGACGACACAAGATCTAAGGAAACCTGGATTCCTCACAGCTTTCCTTGCTGCCCCCAGTGCTGGATTCTTCTGCAGACAAGCACACAATGTAAGAAATCCAGCTGCTTCTATGATTGATTTTTTTTCATTACAAAAAATAAACCACTTCAAAGTATTTGTTGAGCTAAGTTGCTGACCTAAAGCAAGAACTGCTCTTAAATAGGAGCTTGCACCAGGACCTATACCAAGGTCTTGGAGGAATTCATCAGCTCTGTGAGTGAGTACTGTTCCCATAATACTGCAAAATTAAAAACAGTAAGAGGTGCAGGGACACCTGGGTGGCTAAGCAGTTGAGCATCTGCCTTTGGCTCAGGGCATGATCCCGGGGTCTTGGGATCGAGTCCCGCATCAGGCTCCCTGCATGGAGCCTGCTTCTCCCTCTGCCTGTGTCTCTGCCTCTCTCTCTCTCTCTCTCTCTCTCTGTGTGTCATGAATAAATAAATAAAATCTTAAAATAAAAAAGAATAAGAGGTGCATATTTACAGCTACTTGCCACTGTTGCTTAAGCAACATTACTATCCTGTTTTTTTACTCTAACCAGTGGGTAATGGACAACTAGCAGTACAAAAACACCCTAGAAAAAAAATGAATCACCTTACAATATATCATTTATTAAATTTTATTAAATGAAAGACAACACGGTGGTGGCCCAGTCAGTTAAGTGCTGGCTCTTGATTTCAGCTCAGGTCATGATCTGAAGGTCATGAGATTGAGCCCCCTGTGGAGCTTTGGGCTGGGTATGGAGCCTGCTTAAGATTCTCTCTCTCCCTCTGCCCCTTCCACCCCCGCTGGCACTTCCTCAACAAATAAATGCAGGAAAGACAACATAATTGTACCATGGGACTCACACAAAACTCACATGAACTCCTCAGATCCTGATAGACACAGAACAACAGTAAGATGACTAAACATACCTGAACTAATTCTGCCTTTAACTCTTCTCTTTCCTCCTCGGACAGCATGCTAGAGAAGTCAGCACTGGCTACCGTGTCTTCATCTCGTCCTTGCAATGGTTCGGTCTCCAACAAACCTTTAGACAAGATTGATAAAACATAATGCAATTAAAAAAAATTAGCCGACTCCTGTTTCCACAATCTGGAGAACCAGCCCGACCTTCCTGCTCAAAAACAGCTAAAATCTCCTGGGACACTGGGGTGGCTCAGTCGGTTAGGCGTCTCCCTGTGGGTCAGGTCATGGTCTCAGGCTCCTAGGATGGAGCCCCGCATTGGGCTCCCTGCTCAGCCCGGAGTCTGCTTCTCCCTCTCTGGCTCCCCTACCCCTGTGTGTGCTCTCTCTTTCTCTCTCTTTCTCACACACACAAATGAATGGGATCTTTAAAAAATAAAAAAATAATTAAAAATTCCAGGAAAAAAAAACTTTCTTTTTTATTTTTTTTAGATTTATTTATTTATTCATGAGAAACACAGAAAGAGAGAAAGAGGCAGAGACACAGGCAGGGGGAGAAGCAGGCTCCCTGCAGCGAGCCCAATGTGGGACTCCATCCCAGGATCCCAGGATCGCACCCTGGGCCAAAGGCAGACACTTAACCACTGAACCACCCAGGGATCCCCAACCCGACTATCTAAATTTGTGATCAGCTGCCAAGCAAGTAAGGAATATTAAAAAGCGCAAGAACTAAGTCCAAGTGGGAAGCCAGAAGTGCAAACCGAAGAAGCTCTCATGGGTTCCGCATTTGCCACCCAGATGACTTCCCGCTTTGGCGCTCACTGGCCCCTGGGGTGCAGAGGACAAAGCCTCGGGCCACCCAAGGAGAAGGGTTTAAGGTGGGGGACTTGTACATAAACCCACATTCCCATAAACCCGCATCCCCATGGGGCTGCACCCTGAGAGCAAGGAGAACAGAAAATCAAGAGCGTCACTCCCCACGGGGATCCGGGGGGCAAGCAAAGCAGCCTCAGCTGTTGAATGCGCAGCCGCAAGGGCCTCCCTGGGTCCCTACTCCCGAGGGAGACTGCGTGGGAGCTGACAACCCGAGTGCACACTACTTGGGTGGTCCATGAGGACCCGGAGATGGCACAGCATTGTCAACCTTCCCACTTTGGATGTGGATGGAATGTGGATGTGAAACCTGGGGCAGCAGCAGCCGTGAGGAATCAGTGCAGGCTGATTCTGGCGGATGGAACAAGGGAAGTGCCTGGGTGCTCGGGGACATCACTGTGGCCCAGACCAACCCCGGGGCACTACAACTTCTAACTTGTCCAGTGAGAAAAATGGCTTTTGGTCAAAAAAAAAAAAAAAAAAAAAAAAAAAAGATGCTCTCTAGGAGAGCCCCTTGGCATCTGGAGAACTCAAACACCTATGTTTTCTGGAGGATCCAGCAAACAGGCCTCCATACGTGGAAGCTTCCTGCAGGACACGACTTATGACAGAGCTGGCATCTACACATCCATGGGGAAAGGAAGGTCTCTTAGTAAGCTGTCCTGGAGCAAACAGCCCTCCATGTAGAAAAATTAAGATTGGACACACCTTCACATGATTCACAAAGATTAAATTATAAACATTTTAGAAGACAATAAGATTGGGACGCCTGGGTGGCTTAGTGGTTGAGTGTCTGCCTTCAGCTCGGGTCGTGATCCTGGGGTCCTGGGATCGGGTCCCCCATGGGGATCCCCGCAGGGAGCCCGCTTCTCCCTCTGCCTGTGTCTCTGCCTCTCCCTCTGGGTCTCTCATGGATAAATAAATAACATCTTAAAAAAAAAAAAAAGGAAGACAACAGGATTTATGAATCACTAGGTCGGAAGGGACTTCTTAAACAAGACACCAAAAAAAGGCATATCGTGAAAAAAGTAGGGTGAATAAATTACAGATGTCTTTTCATCAAACCCACTGGAAAATTAAAAGACACGTTACTAATTAGAAGAAGCAATATATCTCCCATGTGTATAACTAGCAAAGGACAAGTTACCAGAAAAAAAAAATAATTCTTAGACCAGTTTAAAGCACAGAAATAGGGGGATCCCTGGGTGGCGCAGCGGTTTGGCGCCTGCCTTTGGCCTAGGGCGCGATCCTGGAGACCCGGGATCGAATCCCACATCAGGCTCCCGGTGCATGGAGCCTGCTTCTCCCTCCGCCTGTGTCTCTGCCTCTCTCTCTCTCTCTCTGTGACTATCATAAGTAAAAAAAAAAAAAAAAAGAAAGAAAGAAAAAGAAACATAAAAAAAATAAAGCACAGAAATAACCCAATAGACCCAAAACAGAATTTGCTGTAGGAAGAAATCGTAAATGGTTAACAAACCCAAGAAAATATGCTCAGCCTCTCCGATGTTCTGGGAAACACAAATTAAATCATTTCACACCCACTGGATTAGTAAAAAGTCCAAAGGCTGACATTATCAAATTTGATGAGTACGTGGAGGATGGAAACTCTCATACGCTGCTGGCAAGAATCCTAAAGAGAGACGAGTAACTTGGAAAATAAGCTACCGTGATCTGTGGGGTGCACACCCCCTTCCATCCAGCCCATCCGCACCTACGTATAAATCGGCACCGAGGTCACCGGCAAGAACTCTCATGGCAGCCGAAGCCCAGGACCAGGAGGATGCACAGAAGCCCCCTGGGCACCCCCTCCTCCCAGCACCTGACCACGTGCAGGGAGTGAACGACCCCACACGCTCCGGGGACGGAACTCACCAACAAGATTCAGAGTGAAAAGCACAAGTTGCAGAAGAATCATAAGGTATAACCCCAAACAGACAAAACTAACTAAAATATTGTCTACAAATAAAATCATAAAGAAAAGCAAGACTGCGATCAAAATGATCCAGGACCGGGCTGGGTGCAGATGGCAGCGGGCGCCTCCCCAGGATCTGACGGTCACGCTCCACTTCTGGGACTCTGAATTTCTGCATCTGAGTATTTCTTCTACCTTTTATTTTGTAAATATTCTTTTGTCTGTGTATATTATGGGATAAGACAATTAAAAATAGATTTTTCGGGATCCCTGGGTGGCGCAGCGGTTTGGCACCTGCCTTTGGCCCAGGGCGCGATCCTGGAGACCCAGGATCGAATCCCACCTCGGGCTCCCGGTGCATGGAGTCTGCTTCTCCCTCTGCCTGAGTCTCTGTCATTCTCTCTCTCTCTCCCTGTGTGACTATTATAAAAAAAAATAGATTTTTCTCTAAAGTCAATATTAAAGGTAAGCAATTAGCCTACAGTGTCAGGACATTCGAGGTAAAGAGAGCAAGGAGATGAACCAATCTGCAAAGTGCTTCTCAGGCTGGCCCCACTTTTGAGTCCCTCGCTCGCACATCCTTATTCTGGAGCAACGACGGGCCATCAGCACCTGCTGATACACTGGCCACATCAGTGAGTGCGGCACCCTGCTGGCCTCGCTGATCCAAGTTCAGCAACACCTTGTCCCATCTCTCTACTCCGGAGGCCAGTTTCGATGCTAAGATAATTTTCTTTTCCACGAGTAATGCTTCTTCATTGCAGAAGACAGAAAAATAAAATTATCCGTCATGGACTACAATTACTGTTAATCGCACTGCCCAGAAACAAGTATCATTTTGGTCTGTCCTTTCTGGTTATTTCTTCTATGCAAACATATACGTTCTCTTGTATATACTTATGTGCACTTACTGTTGTGAATCTGATGTATTCAATAGGGCATCGTGAACATCCCTTATGTCTAAAAACACAGCCGCGTTGATATATTTTTGATGGTCACTTTGTCTCGTGTGTGATTGATAACTTACCCCATTTCCTGGGAAGCCACAGCAAACATCGCCTTGTCAAATAAACCATCAAGCAAAATCTTAATGATTTCCTATACACTCCATCATAGAGTCAAGGGGCAAGAACATTTCTGAAAACTACTGCCTAATTTTCACTCAGAAAGACTGCGTCAGTTTTATGCAGACATCAGCAACCTGTGAGACTACCTGTAGACTCAGGACAATAATGTTGCACCGATTTCTAAAAATATTTTATTTAAACTCAATTTGCCCACATATAGTATAACACCCAGCGCTCATCCCATCAAGTGCCCCCCTCAGTGCCTGTCACCCAGTCACCCCATCTCCCCGCCCTCTTCCCCTTCTGTAAACCTTTGTTGGTTTCCCAGAGTTAGGGGTCTCTTATGGTTTGTCTTTCTAATTTTTCCCACTGTGGTTTTGATTTGTACTTCCCTGATGACAAGTGATGAGGAGCACTTTTTCATGTGTCCAAGCACAGATTTAAGAGATGGACACAGAAGGTAGGCTGCCCCCAACCACGGGAGGAAGCTCTAAGGTACTCTGGCTCCCTAACTCAGCTGGGCCCAGGAACTGAACTGAACAAATACTGCTTAAACTTAGCTGGTATGCAAATTCTCCATCGTTCCCTCTCTTGACAGTGTGAGAGGACGTGGGCAGTTACTTAAGACGACATCAAACATCTTTAGCACCTTCTTATATTCTAGGACAAAACAATAATTCAGAATCTATTTTAGTTGGTAACAAGTGAGTTGGGAAACTTCTAATGAATTTAGGGAAAGGCAGAGACCCAGATCCAGGAGGTTAACTTCTTTTCAGGGGAAAACAACGTAAAGCTTACGAGGTGAGATATCCTGTGCTGACCTGGGGCTCTGATGTGCCACCGCATGTGCCCCTCCAAGGCAACATCACTGATCTTTGCAAAGTCTCGCTCCCAGAAAGCAGCCATTCAGGAAATCTGCTTGGAGGCCAGGCTGCTGGTGAGATGAGGTCTAACTGGACCAGTTACCTTCTTCATTCTTATTCTTGAAATGAAATGCCACTTCCCCATCTTCTTTTCCTATTTAACACCTCAATTTCCCTGCATCAGCCTCTTCTGATGAGTGTTCTCTGAGTCACACAGCTCAGCCCGGGGGGACCGTAAAAACCCAAACAAAATGAAAACACGGCCTGCCGTGTTCAGCGGAATATGCTCCACTCACTGGGTTAGGGAAGCAGTCATCCAACCATGGGGTCAGAGGATAATTCCAGAATCAAGGAGCAGATGAAAGAGGAGTTGAAGAAAGATGGGATTCACCAGTGAAAGTCAGTCAGG